AACGGTATGTATGCAGAGTACGCAATCGAACTCTGCATACATACCGTTTCAAGCATTCTGACCTGATAAGAAACGACAACAAGACCGCCACTGCTGCCGGTTCGCTGACATATCCTTAAATGTCTCCAACCAACCAGTTGTGGAGTCTTTCGAACCCCAACCTGGAAGGCGAGAGACACCTACTCTACCTAATGGCTCTGTGCATTTCTTCATAACTCGACTCCATGTCATCTGTTGACCTCCACGTGGTTTCCTCCAGCCCGGATTAGCCATAGCGAATAAAGCGCGGTGCGACAGACGACAACTGGGCGTACGCAATACGTGCGCTAGCTAGCGAAGCATAGTAATCTGAATTCGGTGTGTTAGCAGGTTTATACCTGACAGACTCCCAAACACACGACGGCTTACATCCACGTTACTAACCCGTTCGCTCCATCCAACGTGGGTTAAACTGTGTAAACACCGATAATCGAAACCTTCTAGTCGACGGATATCTTCTACTCGTAAATTCAAGGTCTCAGAACCATGAAGAAGGACTGAACGAACGGTGGCACAATATACACGACCTTTCAGCTTCAGTGAAACGTCGCGTCTACGCCAAAGGTGTTTCAGTCCTGAGTCATTGGTCACGCAACTAACTAAGTTGGAAAAATAATCGACCACAACTAAATCCTGGCCATTTAGTTTCAGAGCAGCGGCACTTGGCACTTTGAAGGTGCAAAGCACATACCGAATGTGGCTACTGCACTTGTCAGTGTATCGAGTGCGCTTTGCGCGTCCTCCATACATTCGAACAGGCAGACGATGTCATCGGCGTACTCCAAATCGCACAGCTTTCGTCTAGCTGTCCATTCAATACCTAGGTTTTGGAGTCCCCTTAGTGAGCTCTCCAGTATTTCGTCTACGACGAAATTGGACAGGAACGACGAAAGAGGGCACCCCTGACGAACGCCGCTGCTGGTGACAAACAGCCTACTTAGTTCGTTGTAGACCCTTACACGACCGGAGGTATGTGAGTACAGTGACCTCAGTAGGTTAACGTATTTCTGGGGCATTCCTTTTCGAAGAAGGGAGCCCATCGGAGCTTCGCGGTCAACTGAGTCGAAGGCCCCTTTCAGGTCAAGGAACACTGCGATCGTTGGCCGACGGTGAGTATGACGCAGCTCAAGGACCTGACGCAACGTAAAAACCTGATCAATACATCCACGGCCAGGCCGGAATCCGGCTTGCTGTTCACGAATGTTGGTTTCTCTTAAAGGCGTCAGACGTCTAATGGAGCTGGTCACCACTGGCACAATCAGGAAGTTATAGGTGTGGTTTGTACACCTCATAGTTGGTTTGGCCAACTCCCCTACGTGAACTACGATCGGTCCACCAACCCGGTTATAGCCCCGGATGTCGGCTTTTCGTCCCCTCACTTTGGTGGGAAAACACCCCAGCCACGAGAAGGCAGTGAGTAGAGCTTCCTCAGCGTAGGCAATTCGAGACGCTTGGTCGTATGGGAGCATTGAACGAGATGCAAAGGACGGTGGGCCAGTTGCATACCCAGACACCCACCCCCGACCATACTGAGGATTTTGGAGGCCTATGCTTCCGTACATTGGTTTATATCCAAAGTCTATCATCCATGCTGTCCGAGTACTAATCCATTACCTCCAAATGCTTTAGTGTGATCAGCGGTGGATGTCTTGGGTTCCGAAATGGCCAGTAGACCCGAACTACAATAGAAATGCTCCCAAACGACCAAGTGCCTCGAATAGCTTCCGCTGAGGAATTCCAAACCACTGTCTTCTCGTGGCGGAGTTAACACTAGGACAAAGGAGAATGCCCGATGCTTTCCACCATATTGACTGAATGTTTGGAGTCAATCTAGGGGAGCTGATTCCAAATCCACCACAACGAGAAAACAATGGGGCGATCGCTTGCGTGTCTTTATGACCCTGCGAGCTAAACTGAATGGCTGCTCACAACCGCAGATCCAATCACACATGAAAGGTCAGTGGGTGGACGCCAGAAAGAGCTCAGTATCACAAGATCAGTTGCTTGGGCACCTTCTGGCTTCCTTCGACTATTCCCATTTGCCCCTTGAGAGGCCACGTCAGCAAATAAACCGGTCAAAACCTCTGCTAGATGAACATACGAGCAGGTTACTTGGGGCTTCCTCTCGACGGTGGGAGGAGTCTTCGCACTTCACCGGAGAACTACCGTTCAACCAAGCTGGGCAGCCCCAGTCAATAAAGTACTGTCCCATCCACGTTCCGCCTGTCTCACTGGGTGCATGAGGCTTAGGGCCGATCCTGTGGCGCAGCGGTTTAGTCGCAGTGGCCGGCGTGCTTTGGACCCTATGATCCAAGGTTCAAGCCCCGTCACTGTCACCCAACCTTGGTGATAGACAGCTTTCCTATCGTCCGGTTCCATACCACGCTTAACCTAGTGGGGCCTTATGTGGTTTGCCACAGGTATACGCAATATGTGACCAAGCCATCGGAGGCAGTGTAGAGCGATTACTTCTGCTAGAGAACGACTATCCGCACCCAACACACGACGACGAACCCCGTCCTTACTCACTCGGTTTTCCCACCAGACGCGAGCAATGCTTCGGAGACATCGGTGGTCAAATACAGAAAGTCGATTATGATCCTCAACGAGGAGGGGCCAGGTCTCGCAACCGTAAAGGAAAACGCTACGAATCGCGGCGATGTACACCCTTCCCTTAAAGGATAGTCGGATATCATGGCGGCGCCACAGGCGTCGCAAGTTGACGAAAGCTGCTCTGGCTTTCGCTATTCGTGATGTGATCTCCTCCCCAACACCCCCACTAGTTGTGATCAAGCTCCCGAAGTACTTAAAGCTGTCAACTATTTCCAGCTGAGTGCAGGCACAGGCTCCTGTCAATCTTAAACAAGCACTGCACTTTGATGGTGCAAAGCACATGCCATACCTGTATACCTCTATCGCCAAGCGGTTCAAAGCGTTTTGGACTGCCTGTGTGTTGTCACCAAGCAAGGCGATGTCATCAGCATATTCCAAGTCAAGGACTCTGTTCCCTGGGAGGAGTTCGACTCCACCGTTTGCTAGCCCGGACAAAGCACTTTGTCGAACATCCTCTATGGCGAAGTTAAAAAGGAATGGGGATATAAGGCAGTCTTGCCGAACTCCACTGGAGACGGCGAAGGGTGGCGAAAGTTGGCGATAGGCCCTAACCCGACCTGAGGTATGACGCACAACTCTTTAAGGATAGACACATACTTCTCAGGTACTACATTCCTCAACAAACAGTTCCATAGTGCGGCCCTATCAACAGAGTCGAAGGCCGCAAGGATGTCTAAGAATACCATGATTG